GTGATTGATGAGGTGTCCAGTAAACCCATTTGTGAGATTAGACTGGATAGGTTTGCGTCAGTGAGTACCAATGACATGGACAAGATCCTTGGAAAAGTGAGGAAGACGACGTGTCCCTCGATCCCTGCCCATCTTGGCTGGTCGTCCAGGGGGGTGATGCCTTGATGGGCTTTCTTAAGAGGGTCATTAATATATCCCTTAGGGAAGGAACTGTTCCATCAAGTCTAAAGGAGGCAGTCGTTAGACCGCTCCTGAAGAACCCTTCCCTGGACCCCCTGGATTTGAAAAACTACAGGCCGGTCTCTCATTTACCATTCTTGAGCAAGGTGATTGAGCAAGCCGTTGTCTTTCAACTCCAAGTGATCATGGATTAAACCGATTTTCTAGATCCATTTCAAACTGGCTTCAGACCTGGATATGGGATGGAGACAGCCATGGTCGCTCTGGTAGATGACCTGCACCTTAGCATCAACAGGGGAAGCATGACCCAGTTGGTGTTTTTGGAACTCTCAGCGACTTTTGACATGATAGACCATGACATCCTCTTGGAACACCTGAGAGAGGTAGGAATGGGAGGCACTGTTCTCCAGTGGTTCCGTTCTTTCCTCTCGGGCAAGTTCCAGAGGGTGTCACTCGGGGACAGCTGCTCCTCAAAAATAGAGCTAAATTGTGGCGTTCCACAAGGCACCATTCTATCCCCGATGCTGTTCAGCATCTATATAAAGCCCCTGGGGGAGATCATCAGGAGACATGGAGCAGGGCATTATCAATATGCTGACACCCAAATATACTGCTCCATGTCTTGGTCAGCTATCATGATGGCAGCTGGCGGTTCTCCCCTCAATCAATGTCTTGAAGTGGTAATGGACTGGATGAGGAAAAAATGACTCAAGCTGAATCTAGAAAAAATGAAAGTACTTATGGTAGGGGCACCCAAACCAGGTATTGGGTTGCAACCTCCAGTCTAGGGCGGGGTCACACTCTCCGCTAAGGACTATGTTCGCATTCTGGGGGTGCTCCTAGACTCGTCGCTTCACTTGACAGAACAGGTGAATGCGACAGTCAGGAGTGCCTGTTACCAGCTTCGGCTGATACTCCAGCTGCATCCTTTCCTGGAAGTAAGGGACCTAGAAACTGTAGTACATGCACTGGTAACCTCACAACTTAACTTCTGCAATGCACTCCATATGGGACTACCCTTATACCTAACTTGGAAATTACAATTAGTACAAAATATGGCAGCCAGGTTGATCACTGGAACATCAAGGGGTGATCATATCACACCCATTCTGAAATCTCTTCTCTGGCTGCCTATTGGTTTCTGAGTACAGTATAAGGTGTTGGTGATGACCTTTAAAGTCCTACATGACCTTGACCCAATTTACCTTCTTCCATATAATCCACCCCGCACCCTCAGGTCCTCTGGGAGGAAGCTGCTCCAACCATTAAAAATCAGACTAGCGGCAACCTCCCAGAGGATAAAGAGATTCCACCTCAACATTAGGAGGAACTTCCTGACAGTAAGGG